ATTCGTCCACTAACCTCTGCAACTTTTCTTTAGAATCTCCCATAAGCACAGTATCATCAGCAAAAAGTAACTGTGTCAACTCCCATTTTGTATTTGATTCTCCATAATTTAATCCCACCCCTCTCCCGAACACCCTAGCATTTACTTCTTTTACAACCCAATCTATTAATATATTAAACAACCATGGTGATAATACACATCCTTATCTAAGACCTACTGTTACCGGGAAGTAATCTCCCTCTCTTCTACACACCCTAACCTGAGCCTCACTATCCTCATAAAAACTCTTTATAGCATTTAATAACTTACTACATATTCATTATACTTGCAACATCTGCCACATTGCTCCTCTATCCACTCTTTCATATTTTATTATCTAATTTTATATGTCACACTGGCCGATTCCCACCTAGCATGGAGTGCCCGAAAAAGAAAAACTTATCTACCATCATTCACTCCATTCATGTCTGCCAAAAGGTTGCTTTCACTACAGTTTTAACTGCAACATTAACACCCCCCTTTCAGAGTGCAGGCACTGTACTTCCCATCTCCAGACTCAGTCGGCTGCTTTCCCTGAATCCCTTCATAAAATGTTACTTTGCTCCACTCCTAACAGCACGTCAAGTATTAAAAAACCATTGTCCTCATTCACTCCTATCAAACCCGCTCAACATCCTGCTGAAGTCCAAGTCCCCTCGCAACAATCCTCCTTTAGCCACCCTCCCTCCACCCTCTAGGCCGACCCCTTCCGCCTCTCTTCACTACAGACTGATACACTCTGAAGCTATTCTGTTCGCTCCATTTCTTCTACATGTCCGAAACCTCAAACCCCTTCCTCAGCCCTTGGACAACGTTTTGGTAACCCCGCCCCTCCTCCTAACTTCAAACTACGAATTCTCTGCATTATATTCCCCACCACAACAATTGCCCTCAGACATAAACTTCCCCACGCCCCACCTTCTCCTCGCTCAACATTCATCACCATGCTTCAAAACCCATATAAGAGCGTTGGTAAAACATATTTCTCATACATTCCCCTCTTTGCTCCAAGGGACAAAGTTCTTTGTTCCACAACCCCTATGAAACCCACTCACTCTTTTTCCCTCATCATTCTATGTTTACCTCATCTTTCATTAGACCATCCGCTAAACACGTCCCTCCCAAATACTGAATACGTTCACCCCCTTTCCAACTCTCTCCCTCAATCTGATATTCAATCTTTTTATCACTAATCTTTTGTTATCCTATAACCTACTCTTCCTGTATTCACCTTTATTTTCTTCTTTTGCAATGAAAACTTCCCTACCCTTATCTAAATACTGTTCACATATATGCTTCAATGTAAACACTTGATCTACACATCCCCTACCCACTCTAAAACCTTCTTGCTCATCCAAAATCCTACATTTTGTCTTGCCTCTAATTCTTTCAATAATAACCCTACCGTACACTTTTTCTGGTGTACTCAGTAAACTTATTCCCCTATAACTTTTACAGTCTCTTTTATCCCCCTTCCCTTTATATAAAAGAACTATACATGCTCTCTGCCAATTCCTAGGTACCTTCCCTTCTTTTATACATTTATTAAGCAAAAGTACCAACCACTCCAACACTATATCCCCTCCTGCTTTTAACATTTCTCTCATTATCCCGTCAGTTCCAGCTGCTTTATACCCTTTCATTCTATGTAATGCCTCATGCACCTCCCCCACACTCACATCCTGCTCTTCTTCACTCCTAAAAAATGTTATACCTCCCTGGCCAGTGCATGAAATTACTGCCTCCCTTTCTTCATTGACATTTAAAAGTTCCTCAAAATATTCCCGCCATATACCCAATACCTCCAGCTCCCCATTTACTAACTCCCTTACTCTGTTTTTAACTGACAAATCCATTCGTTCCCTAGGCTTTCTTACCTTGTTAATTTTTTCTTATTTTCATCAGAATTTCTTGACAGTGCCTCTCCCACTCTATCATCTGCTCTCCTTTTGCACTTTCACCTCTCTCTTATTTGTTGTTGCCATTTTCCTTTTGTCCCATCTACCTCTTACTCTAACTGTAGCTACAGCTGATCTGATATATCAGTTGTCTCTCTATAAACATGTACATCCTGAAGCCTACCCATCAACCTTTTATCCACCAATACATAATCTAACAAACTACTACTTTCATTATGTGCTATATCATACCTTGTATACTTATTTATCCTCTTTTTCATAAAATATGTATTATATATTACCAAACCACCTCTCTACACATAGCTCAATTAAAGGCTCTCCATTTTCATTTACCCCTGGCACTCCAAATTTACCTACTACTCCCTCCACAACATTTGTACCCACTTTAGCATTGAAATCCCCAACCACAAGTGCTCTCACACTTGATTCAAAACTCTCCATGCACCCACTCAACATTTCCCAAAATCTCTCTCTCATTGCTTATTTTAAAATATTTGTAGTTGTAATGGTCTTAATATAGGGTGCAAGGTGAATAGTATTTATTTGTAGAAAGTTAGGTGTGGTAGGTATCTTAGCCCATGTGGCCAACCCCCCCACACATAATGTATTAGGCATTTAAAGCACCCTAGAGCGATAAAATGTATATACAGTACACTCATTGCTTACCTTAAAATATTTGTAGTCTTATTGTAGGGTGAGAGGTGAGTAAACAAGATAAAAATGAATAAACGAGAGAGAACAAGTAAATGAAAGAGGACAGAGCCGCAGGGTATGTAAACAAACAGATGAACACTGCTGGTGGGTTGATACACATTCATTTCCATTCATTGTACAGGTTGTCTCCACATTAATACAGTAGAATAAATAAAGAGCAACATTCCCATTCTCATGGCGCACACCATTTTTAGAAGTAATGATGCTCTGAGTGAAGGCATATGAAAGGAATAATTTTATACAGTTACCCCCAGTAATACTATTGTGTACACATTTTGTTCGGTGTTGGACTAGAGAAAACTTTATTCTTTCTGACACTCTGACAAGACGACTGGAAAAAATCACATATTTATGCTAACTTATTCTACTGTAGGTGTATTTATCATGTTTATATGTTACATAGCATGTTTATTATTTTTTATTATTATTTTATTATCACACTGGCCGATTCCCACCAAGGCAGGGTGGCCCGAAAAAGAAAAACTTCCACCATCACTCACTCCATCACTGTCTTGCCAGAAGGGTGCTTTACACTACAGTTTTTAAACTGCAACATTAACACCCCTCCTTCAGAGTGCAGGCACCGTACTTCCATCTCCAGGACTCAAGTCCGGCCTGCCGGTTTCCCTGAACCCCTTCATAAATGTTACTTTGCTCACACTCCAACAGCACGTCAAGTATTAAAAACCATTTGTCTCCATTCACTCCTATCAAACACGCTCATGCATACCTGCTGGAAGTCCAAGCCCCTCGCGCACAAAACCTCCTTTACCCCTCTCTCCAACCTTTCCTAGGCCGACCCCTACCCCGCCTTCCTTCCACTACAGACTGATACACTCTTGAAGTCATTCTGTTTCGCTCCATTCTCTCTACATGTCCGAACCACCTCAACAACCCTTCCTCAGCCCTCTGGACAACAGTTTTGGTAATCCCGCACCTCCTCCTAACTTCCAAACTACGAATTCTCTGCATTATATTCACACCACACATTGCCTTCAGACATGACATCTCCACTGCCTCCAGCCTTCTCCTCGCTGCAACATTCATCACCCATGCTTCACACCCATATAAGAGCGTTGGTAAAACTATACTCTCATACATTCCCCTCTTTGCCTCCAAGGACAAAGTTCTTTGTCTCCACAGACTCCTAAGTGCACCACTCATTCTGAAAAAATATCATAGATGGATTCAGCAAAATGTCTACATTAATGTTGTATATGACATATAATGGGCCTCAGTGTGATTATTATTGTGCGTTATTATTATTATCATTATTAATATGCATCTTCAAGACTAACAAGACACTCTTAGTAATTTTAATGTGTACCTACATGCCAGCACAGTGTGCAAGTTTATTTAGGTTCAGTTACACATAACTATAATTATCAGAGTACATGTATACATAAAACATGAAATACAACTGTAAAACACATGAAATTTTGGAAAGTTTCCAAACATAATGGAGTCATGCTGACGGAGAATGTAAACAAACTGGGTGGGGCGCGGTGGCCGTATTAGACAAGGGGAGCTGTAAAGCGAGTTTTGGTCATCATTTGAAATGTCCGTATTAGCGGAATTCCGTGAAGCAAAACACCATAAGGTGGGGCCCTACTGTATTACTTAAGAGATAGCTCTCACACTCATGAGGATAAGCTTTAGAACAATATGATCACAACATACTCAGTGCATGTGGATATTAACAAGGTGGGGATGCTGCAGTTCAGATGACCATCTGAATTGTGCTGACATCATAGTTCAGATGGTCCTATAACAGTGCACTTATAAGTGGTGTTGAAAGAACATTAGAAAAAATTATTTTTTCACAGAATAGTAGTAGACAGGTTGAGAGCTAGGAGAAATATAATAATGTGTGCTACAATCTTTGTAAACTTTAAATTAAAAACTAATATGGTAGATTATATACTGATGGTCTGTGTTACATCATCAATATAGCTATGCTCCTGCTACAATAGTTATAAAATTATACATAAATAGGGTATCAGGGACAGGGTATCAAATAAGATGTAACTCAGGAGCATTATGCTGGGTATACTACAATCCACTAGTGTCAGTATCTTTAAGGTGTTCATGGTTGTGACCAGTGGTGCCTCTTGGTTCATTCACAGCATTGTAAGAATTATTGTTGTAGACAGTAATGTATAGTGTGTGAACAATATTACCAGGGCATCCACATAACATACTATTGAATAAAGTTAGGTGATTATAAGACCCTAATTTGGGTTGATCACTGACTTGCTTCAGTAGGAATAAATGTATTTTTTTTTTTTTTTTTTTTAGATTACTACTAATTGTGTTTGATGTTTGCAGGGTTGGGAGTGTAATTGTATCCCTGGATGGGAAGGTTTGTACTGCAACGTAGATATTGATGAGTGTCTATCAAACCCTTGCAAAAATGGAGCCACTTGTAATGAAGGATATAATAACTTTACTTGCACCTGTCCTCCTTACTGGAATGGTCCTACATGTGAACAAGATGTAGATGAGTGTAAAACTAATCCGTGTACGAATAATGGATCATGTCATAATCTTCTTGGGTCATTTGAATGCAAATGTGATGAAAGCTACTGTGGACAGCATTGCTCACTGGATAACCCCTGTTTACAAGTAAGTATCAATGTCACTGACATCGTCAATACCTTATGCAAAGTAACTGTACATTGACACTCCCAAAATAACTATCATTACTTAGCTTTGTATTCCCTTTTCATTTGGTAGGACTTCACCTATAATAGACTGGTGGTGATTATAACTTTAACCTGATAATTGTGTCCAATGTACTAGTACACAACTGATGACTGTGTCCAGCATACTAGTTTGCAACTGACAACTGTGTTCAACGTACTAATACACAACTGACGATTGTGTTCAACGTACTATTATGCAGTTGACGACGGCGTTCAACGTACTGGTACACAACTGATGACTGTGTTCATCGTACTAGTACACAACTGACAACTCTGTTCAACATATTAGTACACAACTGACGACTGTATTCAACATACTAGTACACAACTGATGACTCTGTTCAGTGTACTAGTACACAACTGACGACTCTGTTCAACATATTAATACACATCTGACAACTATGTTCAGTGTACTAGTATACAACTGACAACTGTGTTCAGCATACTAATACACAGCTGACAGCTGTGTTGAACATACTAGTACACACAATCTTTCATACCTTCAAATCAGCAAACTACCAGTATTTTTGACCTCATCACAGCTCTTTGGGTCTTCTACAGTCTATTCACACATTTAAAAATTTAAAAAAAAAAAAAGGCCAGGAGGGTCTACACAGTGCATCATGGTTAACTACACAAGTGATGACTGTGTCTGACGTACTAGTACACCAAACTAGCATAAGTAAACAATGAATTCAGGAGCTGTTGTCCCACCACCAGCTTCCCTACCAGCAAACTGGGTGTGTTAGTGGCACAAAGATGACTAGTTCATTTCAGATTTATTACAGTTTCATGATATTAACAGCAGAATTCAGCCACAAAGCAAGCGAAGTACAGTGGAACCTCGGCTTACGAACTTAATCCATTCCATGGCCTTATTCATATCCTAATTTGTTCATATGCTGAGTCAATTTTCCTAATTTAAATTAATTGAAATGCAATTAATCTGTTCCAGCCTCTCAGGAGGCATGACAAAATAATGCTAATATCAACTCTAACGCCTTAGTTATCTATCACAAGTTCATCTAATATGACATAATAAACAGTATTAATAACGTAGAAACATGATATATACTCTAGAATGAATAAAATAGGCCATAATATGGCGAGTGATGGCAACGTCGGTGGCAGCATCCTGCCGCCATTTTCTCTCCCACTCTAGTATCTTCCCAATCCATAACCCCACACCTGCTTCTGTTTATCTATGATTAGTGGTGAGGTTGTCACATATGTAACTTTAGGTGTGGTCAAGACAGATATATATATAGGTGAAGACGTGATCACTGTGGCCACAGTGGTGGTGGTGGCAGCGGCGGCGGCCACAGTGGTGGTGGTGGCGGCGGCGGCAGTGGCCACAGTGGTGGTGGTGGCAGCGGCGGTGGTGGCAGCCACAGTGGTGGTGGTGGCCAGCTGCCTCACTCTCTGCTGTTGTCTTCTTCGTTTCTCTAGCTTTTTTCATAGTTTCTAATCGCTGATTGTATGCGAATACTGTCTATTTAGGTGAGACATTGTGTAATAAATTTGTACAATATAAGACAAAATTACGCATCCCAAGGGTCTGCTGCAGTCACTCAGAACGGCTCACCTCCCCTTCCTTTTCTCCCTCGGTTGGCACTGACATAGCAGTGGTCTAGCAGCTGTACCTACAACCACCCAGAGGGTTACCAGTTTGTATTTTGAAGCGTTTGGCACAAAAATATGAAAAAAAATACGAAAAATATCTAAAAATGAAAACATATTATTTTTATTATTACTTATATATTGTATTATTATTATTATTATTATTATTATTATTATTATTATTATTATTATTATTATTATTATAATTATTATTATTATTACTCTTAGTATAAAGGTATATACTTTTTATAGTGCAATTAATTACTCAACTTATTATATATTACAAATCAGATCTTACTCCCAAATCAATATTATATCATAGTGACTATCTGTCCATTTAACTTTGTTTACCATTACTTAATTTAGTCCCTTATATATTTTCTCCTTTATTTTAGCTTTATATAACTACCTTAGTTCATATATTCACATTTGTTAAAATAATCAAGGTGCTATTCTCAGGTGCTAAAGTGTAATAAGTTCACTATTTTGCCATTATATTCCCAAGCTCCTTTATTTGATTACCACTTAATTTGTTCACCACAACTTATATTAGTCCCTTTTATATTGTCTCCTTTATTTTAACTTTAAAGAACTACCTTTAAAGAACTACCTACTATTATATTCCCAAGCTTCTTTATTTGATCATCACTTTATTTGTTCACCACAAATTATTTTATTCCCTTTTATATTGTCTCCTTTATTTTAACTTTAAAGAACTACCTTAGTTCATATATTTACATTTGTTAAAATAATTCAGGTGGTATTTTTTAGCTTTAGAATATTTACTTTGTCTTATGCTTAATTCTAACTATAGATTCACTATAAATCTTATGATTATAAGCATTGATCCTGATACCAACCTCTTATTGAATGACTTAAATGAATCAAACAGTAACTGTAATTACTACACAGCAGAACAATCAAAGGCACTCCTCAGAGCCAACAACAACATAAATGTCTTTAACTACAATATCAGATCTTTAAGCAAACATTACGATGACCTCATAGCATTACTAAATTCCCTGCATGCCAGTATGTCCATCATTACTCTCACCGAAACCTGACTAAAGCCTGATACTACAGATGTCTATGCCATTCCTGGTTATACAGCCATACACAACTGTAGGCCAGATCAACAAGGGGGTGGCACAGCTATATACTACTCAGACCAACTAGAATGTATCACTAATACTTGCACAAGGGATGAACATGGGGAATATATAATAGTTAAATTCAAATCCAAATACCTGCAAAAACCTCTCAGTGATAAACATCTGCAGAATACCACAGTCAAACATTAGCCGTTTTAGTGAAAACCTAGGAAGTATGATAACTGATGCATGCATGAATAAAGATCACTTACTACTCTCAGGTGACTTCAGTATCAATCTCCTGCAAGACCAAGACCCACACGTTACTGAATTCACAAACACTATGAGTAACTGCTTGTTGCTACCAACAGTAACAAAACCTACAAGAATTACAGAGATTAGTGTTTCCCTACTAGACCACATCTGGACCAACACCATATCCCCTTCAAAATCAGGCATAATCACAGATAATACCACAGACCACTACCCTACCTTCCTCATAACTAATCTGGGCAAATTACCCCAAGACACTACTAAAGTCACTTTCAGACTTCACAATGAGGCAGCCATTAACCCTTAAACTGTCCAAACATAGATCTGTTTTTTCAACATTTGAAAGTATGTCAAAAAATGTACATATTCTTTTTGTTTTTTATATTTGAAAACGTGTAAAAAAAACTTTGACCTACGTTTTTTTTTTTTTTTTTTTTTTTTTTTTTTTTTTTTTGAAAATATGTAAAAAACGTAGTTCTACTTTTGGAGCACTACGCATGTGAACATAGATCTGTTTGGACAGTATAAGGGTTAATAACTTCACAACAGCAGTGACAAACATTGACCTGGCACACTTAGCTAGAAATCTATATAGATATTGACAAATGTATTAATTTTTTTTTTTTCAACAAGTCGGCCGTCTCCCACCGAGGCAGGGTGACCCAAAAAAGAAAGAAAATCCCCCCCAAAAAAATACTTTCATCATTCAACACTTTCACCACACTCGCACTTTATCACTGTTTTTGCAGAGGTGCTCAGAATACATAGTTTAGAAGCATACACATATAAAGATACACAACATATCCCTCCAAACTGCCAATATCCCAAAGACCCAATACCTCTATAACAAGCAATGCCCTAAAAAAACTAAACAGATGACAGCTAAGAGACTGAACAGTCCCTGGCTAACACCCAGCATCCTCAAATCCATAAATGCAAACCACCTATACGAAAAACAGTACAGAATGGGTCACATAACCAGAAACCAAACAAAACGTTACTCGTCAATCCTAACCAGCCTGATAAGAAGGGCTAAAAATTTGTATTATGAGAACAGATTATTCAACTTAAAAGGTGATATAAAAAAGACCTGGAAAACCCTATCAGAAATTCTAGGAACAAAAAAGATATCACGAAATAGTGCAGTTGAACTAACAAACCCAGATGAACTCCAACTCCCACCAACTGAAACAGCAAAGAGACCTAATGATTTCTTCTCCACCATAGGAAAAAACCTTGCCAATAAAATCCCAAGCTCAAATACCCCACCCAATGACTACCTCACTGGCAACTACCCGAACACACTGTTCCTAGCTCTGACTAACCCAACAGAAGTCTCCCGTATTATCAGCACACTAAAAAACAAGACAGGAGATTTAAATACCTTACCACCCTTTATATACAAAAAATCGTCGCATGTGCTGTCACCAATCATTGCAACACTCTTTAACAAATCCATCGAATCCTCTACCTTCCCTTCACTTCTCAAAATAGCGAGGGTCACCCCAATCCATAAAGGAGGAGACCAAACAGACTTGAACAACTATAGGCCAATATCCAGCTTACACCCTCTCTCTAAAATCTTCGAAAAATTAATTCATAAGCGAATCTATTCCTACCTCATCTCCCACAACATACTCAACCCCTGACAATTTGGGTTCAGGCCTAATAAAAATATGAATGATGCTATTATACACATGCTAGAACAAATATACACTGCACTACAGAAAAAAGAAGTCCCACTGGGGATCTTCATTGATTTACGTAAAGCTTTTGATACAGTTGATCATGATTTGCTCCACATAAAATTGTAGCACTATGGTATAAGAGGGCACTCCCTCAACTACCTAAAGTCATACCTCAGCAACAGAAGCCAATATGTGTACACAAATGGAGCAAACTCTTCTGCACAGCCAATTACAGTTGGTGTCCCACA